GATGAGATCAGACTACACACACACACACACACACACACACACACAAATGAATCACAATGACAGAACTCACTAGATTATGGAAACAACTGGATGGAGAAACATCTGAGAAGCTGGAGACTTCAGCAAACATCTCCAGTTGACCTCCATTTAATCCAATTGTTAATTAAGAGAAGCAATTGAGATGTAAAAGAGATTTGATTTTTGTTGCTGATTATTTTCTTATTTGTGGCAAATGTCAGATTGGGCTGATCTTGATTCTTTCTCATTACTATTTTAATGTTTGATGTGGTTGAACGCTGTTCATTGAGCTGGTTAGTTATGTCCTGACCAGTCCTGTCCTTTATTTCAGGTTCATTGGCATGAAGTTTAAGTCTGTGACTTTCATCGACTCCACCTTTCAGAGCTGTTACTTTGAGGACATCAGCTCCATCGGTTCTTTCTTCAAGAACTGCACCATCATAGAAGCGTTCTTCTATAATACAGGTACGAATGTGTTGAAATCGACTTACCTCATTTTTAGGGCTGTCAGTTGATTGAAACAATGACATGTGATATAAATATTTAAAATAAGTCTAAAATAAATAAAATACATGAAAATATGAAATAATGTTAGAATGTTGATGTGTACATGTATGATTTTAAAATTATAATTAAATGAATACAATTTTTTTTTTAAGTGAAATGTTGCTTTCCACGTGTAGTGAATTCAGTTATTGAATAATAAAATCTATACTTTCCCCGGTCTTTGGCCATCCACTGCTGATCTCACTAACAGTGTGTTTCACTGAAAGTTCAGGCCTGTTCAGCTTCCATAATGGCTGTCTGTGTGTTTGAGAGGGCAGAAGTTAATTGGCTGATGGAAACTCGGTGCACTCTGATTGGCCCATGGGGAGTCTGTAAAGTGTGATTGACCCATAGACACGGTGGACAGTGGGATCTTAATTATTTGGGGCATGAAACTCTACCATTCTTCCATTTTAGCAAGAGAAAAGCAAAGAAAAAAGAAGGGAAAAGGCTCTTTGTTGTAGTCGGCTCAGTGTGAGATCTGTAGGTATCAGTGATGTGAGCGAGAGCTTCACTGACTCACAGCGAGATGTTTGATGTTTAAATATCTAACTGCAGCTCACCAGCGACGAGAAACCACAGACTTTGAAGTTGAAATTGATTCTAATTTATATGCATTTGAAGGCAAAAAGACAAGCAGATGCATTAGATGAAAAACAGGATGAAGGATAAAAGCCGAGGGCACCGATTATACGAAGAAGACCTGAAATAGCCACAATAACAGCAGAACAATGATTTTACCCAGAATCCCTCAAGCATGAGAACATTATGGAGCTCAAGGGTTCAGTCAATGACATGCATTATCTATATGGAGCAAATCATTTTAGTCATAGACATGTATAAACATTGCAAGACACACTTATGCATGTGTAGAAGTCTGTGTAGTTTCACATTTTTGCTGATCTAATTGTTAAATTCCCAGTGAATGGCTTCACTATCCATAATCCTGAAGAGAGATCCACTGAAAGATACTGTTACCATAGAAACAGGAATTATTTTTTCAAATTAAATACAATTTTATGGTTTGGTTTGGATCTCTATTTGAGAATGTTCTGATATTAGTAAAAGTTAAATGCTGTGAGTTTGAATTATGGAGCTTGTTTGAGGCTGTTGATGTTGATTTATAAGTGTGTGTGTGTGTGTTTGTGTGTGTGAGAGAGAGGGCAGACAGCGGTCGGGTCATTTCGGGGTCCGGCTGACTCAGGAAAAGCCACCTTACACACTTCAACAAACTTCACCACTCAGCAGAACAAACACAGATGCACAGAGAGAGAGCAGATGCCTCATGGGAAATTGAGTTCATGTCTCTAATGAAGCGGTTTCAGAGCTGCTACAGAAATGAAATGAGCTGGACATGAGTTCCGAGTGAAAGTGTGAGAGAGCTGGAGATCTGCTGCACACGCTCAAACTCACTAATAGGTTTTCAGAGGTTAAACTCCCTAAAGACCCTCCTGTGTGAAAGAGACAGAATGTAGTTCAAACTGTGACCAGAAGGGGGCAGTACAGCAAATGTCTGTCTGTTGTTCTATCATTCTAAACATATGTCTGTCTCTGTTGTTCTGTCTATCATTCTAAATGTCTGTCTGTCTCTGTCTGTCTATCTTAATTGTACAGCACGTTATTTCTGTAGGTTTTAAATAATTTTTTTAAGAAAATAAAAATGTTTGAATGGATTTGTAAGTTGAGCATCTGTCATGTAACTCATCGTCTCCCGTCTGTCTCGTTCAGATATTGATGACTCGAAATTCATCGGTTCCTCTGTGATCAACTCCACGTTTGCGCACAACAAGACTGGCTGTCAGATGACGTTTGATGACGACTACAGCGCATACTGGGTGTATTTCATCAACTTCCTTGGAACACTAGCCGTGTTGCCAGGCAACATAGTCTCCGCCCTCCTCATGGATAAAGTGGGCCGTCTGAGCATGTTAGGTCAGTCACTTCACCAGATTCACCAAATACTGAATGAAATAAACTCGTCTGATATCATATTGTTGACTGTGTTTTTTGTGTTCAGGCGGCTCGATGGTGTTGTCCGGCATCAGTTGTTTCTTTCTGTGGTTCGGCACCAGTGAGTCCATGATGATAGCGATGCTTTGCCTTTATAACGGACTCAGTATATCGGCCTGGAACTCACTGGACGTGGTGACGGCCGAACTGTATCCCACCAACAGGAGGTACATGGACACACAAATACATGCAATCACTAATAAAAACAGATCACAAGATGCTTTCACTTGACTCGTATCAACTTTACTCAATACACTTGAAAGATTACTGGAAAATAAACATTAAAAAGTAAACTACAACTGAAATAAAAAATAATGAAACAAATAAAAAAAGTAATAATATAAAAAAAAACAAATACAAAGGACAAAAGCACATAACAAAATCAACTAAAATTAAAAGTAATGAAAGTTATTAGTTTTTAAAAAATGGTTAAAAATAATTGTTTCACCTTTTTATGCAAATATTCTGCTGTTCCTAGATCTCCCTATGCTACATAGAAACCGCTGTTTTTGATGTAATTACATATATTAGAATCATATAAAAAACAATATAGTTTATTATATTTACTTAATTTGATCATTTATATGATTTATACTTTATTATTTATATAGTTTATTTTTCAGTTTTATCAGTTGAGTTAAATATATCATTTTTTACATCTATTTCATTTAATAATTAATAAGATTTATACTTATTTATTATTTATATTGTTTATTTTTATAGTTTATTTTACCGTTTTTTTTGTTGTGTTTAATATAAATGTTTATTACTATATTTGATGCTGTCATCCCAATAACATATCCTACAAAACGTAATGTAATAATATCCTAATTCTTGTGCAAAATAAACACTGCTCTGCTTAAGTGAAAGGTCTAGTCTGATAATTATATTATTTAAAATAACGTGCCCCATAAATAGCTTCAGTGTAGTTTGTAGCTAACAACTTTATCTAAAGTGTAGTTTGGCTGTAGCTGAAATTATCAGCTTCTGTCCTTTAGATGTCAAAGCTTAATACAACTGCTAGGGCTGTTAATACTGCTAACACTGGTTGTGTCTGTCTCCTGCAGAGGGACTGGCTTTGGCTTTTGTAATGCCATGTGTAAGCTGGCCGCAGTCTTGGGGAATATAATATTTGGGTCGTTGGTGGGAATCACGAAATCCATCCCGATCCTGCTGGCGTCGTCTGTGCTGGTCGCCGGAGGTCTGGTGGGTCTGCGGCTCCCCGACACCCGCAACAACGTCCTGATGTGACCCCACCACACCTGTGACCTCTGACCCTGAGTCGCCACGGAAACACGCAGGACACGCTCAGGGTGCAGGTGGAGGCGACTACGACATGTTTGCTTTATTTATTAATTTAGAGAGGTTTATTCTCTTTTGACTTGCCCAGTTTAGATTAAAACTAGATTTTGATGTCTTTACTGTAAATCAAATGTTATGATGTTATGAAATGTAAAAACAAAAATGTGTTGAAATCTGTTTTTGGACTGTGAGTTTTTGACCTAATCTGGGTGGGCAGAATTATTATTTTAAATTATTTATTTATTTATTGAGAAAATTCAGCTATTTATTTAAATTTTTATTACTTTATCTGTATATTTCTAGCTGAACACAAAAAAGTTAAATTCAGGTGATTTTAATATTTTAGATTTTATTAATTTTAAAATTAAAACACTTTAATTTTCTTGAAATGTTACTTTTAAACTCAAACGAGAGTAAAAAAAGGCCATTTAGAGATGTAGACATTAGCGATAACGGCTTTTATTGTTAGCGTAGGTCCGATTCTCCGGTGACTTCCACCGAAACATTTCTTAAACAAGGCGATAACGCTTATCCAGTTTACATTTTCTGCTTTTTCTAATGATTTAGCTAGCAGAAGAACACCGGCACGCTTCGACTTCATTCTTGCCTTTGTGAACTTTGTCATCGATGTAGCCGAAACGGACTTCATTTGGTGTTTGTCTCTCTCTCGGTTTAAGGGTTAAAGATGTCTTGATAACCCTAGTTCTAGCTGCTACGCGTCCATGTGCAAACTCTTCCTGGGAAAACTGAATGGCCTTTGCTTCCTCTAAAACCCCTGCCGTCGGCTTCTCGTAGGTTGTAGCTATCCATCGATTTCCTTTGGAATGCTCTACTGCTCCAGTAGGTGGAAATATGTTTCGCCGTTTCATCACATTCCACTGGAAGTTGGTACATGCAATTGTGCAATATGACAGGACGTGATACTGTGGAAGCTTGTTTCCGCCACTGAACAAAACATAAAAAAGGTAATTCCGACTTTTTATCTGACAATTCTGACTTTTTTTTGCAATTGTGAGGTATAAAATCAGAATTGCGCGAAAAAAAGTGTAAATTGCGAGTTTATATCTTGCAATTATGATTTTATTTGTTGCAATTGAGAGCTTCTATACCTCAATTCTGACTTTATAACTAGCAATTTCAAGAAATAAATTCAAAATTGAGTGATATAAACTCACGATTTAGAATTTCTTTTTTTTTTATTGCATGACTTTTTCTCATAGTTGTTAGTTTATATCCCGTAATTCTGACTTTATAAGTTGCAATTGTGAGTTTATATCACAATTAAAAATCAGAATTGCGCGAAAAAAAGTGTAAATTGCGAGTTTATATCTTGCAATTATGATTTTATTTGTTGCAATTGAGAGCTTCTATACCTCAATTCTGACTTTATAACTAGCAATTTCAAGAAATAAATTCAAAATTGAGTGATATAAACTCACGATTTAGAATTTCTTTTTTTTTATTGCATGACTTTTTCTCATAGTTGTTAGTTTATATCCCGTAATTCTGACTTTATAAGTTGCAGTTGTGAGTTTATATCACAATTATGAGAGAAAAAGTCCGAATTGCAAGTTTATATCTCACAATTCTGACTTTATTTCTCATAATTGCAAGTTTATCTCGTACTTCTAACTTTTTCTCGTAATTGCGAGTTTCTGTCTCATACTTATGACTTTTTTTCTCTTAATTGCGAGTTTATATCACGCAATTCTGAGAAAAAGTAAAACATTCTGAGTTTATATCATGCAATTCTGACAATTTTGCATAATTGTGAGTTTATATCTCACAATTCTGACTTTATTGTAATGGCAAGTTTTTTTTTAAAGGTTTATTTATGGCGTTTTATGTCTTTATTTTGATAGGACAGTATAGGTCGACAGGAAGTGAAGTGGGTGAGAGAGAGGGGGATGGGATCGGGAAAGGTCCGCGAGCCGGGACTCGAACTCGTGACACCCGAAGTGCAATGGCGCTGTATGTCGGCACGCTGCCCACGAGGCCATCGGCGTCGACTTTGTAACTCACAATTGTGAGATTATATCGTGCAATTCTGAAGTCAGAATTGCGAGATAAAAAGTCGCAATTACCTTTTTTTATTCAGTGGTGGAAACAGGCTTCCATATGATACGGCCGCATCGTAGAAAATAATAAAAGCCATTCAGCCTGATCTGATCTTGATGACGTACAGGCCCTGCTGCTGCTGTCTACATGCACTGAAGTACACTAAACACAGAAACATACTCCACACAAGTGCACTAGTCTGCCGCGTCGACGCTGAGACATTTCAGATGGAGTCTACATTCACGTACTTGCGTATAGATATGTTTCTGGCCTAATTTAATGATATTTTATTGTGTGTATGTCGGGAAAGTAAAGATAAACTTGTTTTGAACTTATCATGGGCGACAACATTTGCTGTACGCGTCTAAATGTTGTAAAGTGTTGCCTGTTGAGTTGAAACATTATTTTTCATTGTCAGATGTGTATGCAAATGTCTCCTCATGTGTATGTGTAGATATCTTATATGAACATTATTTTCTGTCTATAGATGTTTATTTTAGCTGGTTGTGTGATTTTGGGGTGTTATTTGAGCTAACAAGAGGATTCAGTGTCATACAGGTATTTTTTCTGCAGATTTTTTACAAGTTTGAACAAACTGAGTTCATGGGAGGAATATATTCAAAGTTAGGAAATGTTGGTTTGGTGCATCTCCTGACCTGTTTGTTTGAACTGTTTTGTTTTTATATTAATTTCTGAACAAATTCAAGTGGCCTATCTGAAAAATACAAATGAAGCGTGATATCTTGTGGTTAAATACACCCGTGCATGTGCATATTGAGACTTTGTGTTGCAGTGATTTTGTCCGTTGTGCTTTCGCCACGAGTTTATTTCCTGATTTGAAAGATGAACGTATAAGTATTGTGAGCGTGTGATGTGGTTCTGAAATGGGGTTTGATTGGTTGTGGATCTGGCATGCCAACGACACGTCTGCCGTCAAATTCATTTTGTCAAAGTGTCTGTGACGTCACTGGCCAAATATCTCTGATATATCTAGTTTTATTTTGAAAAGAGAAAAAAGTGCCATGTACAGTGTGAACGGAGGTGGATTCGGTTTGGATCCAGATGTACTGCTATTAAAGAGTTTCATTATAAGACTCTAAAGAGTGTCTGCTTATTTTTTTAGATACCTCTGGGTGTCTAAATTACACATTCACACATTGAATTTACTTTACCTGAATTCACCCTATAAACTGATATTCGGATATTCACATAAAATAATAACTCAGATTAATCATAATACGTAATCTAAAGTATATGAAACTAATCAATTACACAAAACCTGCTTGAATTGCTAAAAAAATAAAAAGTGGGTATCAAAATTTGTTATATTGTGTCCTCTATGAACATGATGAACACAAATAATAGATAACCCTGTCCGATGCTTCAACACTAGATGGAGCACGAGCTCCAAACATCTCGCATTGTGTTAGTGTTGATATACGAACTATACTCCAGTACTTTTATTGGACCGGGACTGTGTTGAAATGTGCTGTGTAATTCTGTAATGACATGCAGGTTTGAATCTGTTCATGTCTGACTGACTCAAGGACAGTTTAATCCTGCAGGAATATTACACTGAAACTAGATGCCAGCGCTTCTGTCTCTGTCTTTGAATTTGTTCTTGCTGAAAAACAGCTCACAACATCCTCGATACACAGCAAAATAATAATAATAATGCATATTATTATTATTATTACATTAAACATAAAAACTTACATTATCTTTATTACATTAATAATTACATTATTTATTAAACCAGCTCACAACATCACATTGCATAATAATAATAATGCACAAAATCTATACATACATTAAATACATACATTAAATAATTAATAGATTAAACATGTAACAAAATTAATTGTATGCATACTAAATAAAATTAATATTTATTTTAACAAATAATTAAATATAAAAACGAATTATTCATTATCAGAATTATATCTAATTAGTTTTTATTATTTATATCATTATTTTAAAATACTATTAATATTACTGAACCATTCTGTTGCTTATAATGGTCACAGGTGTAAAACACGGCTGATATGAGATCAGTTTTGTCCTGGATTTGTGGTTTAAACCAGGGTTTAGAGTTGTTGAAGTCGGGTTCAGACCAGCAAACTCCTCTCTGGAGGCCTGATTGTTGCTGTGATCTCCATGATCTGGATTCCAGGCATGTCTGAGGATAATTCTGCGTCCCATCGGATCCGTTCCACCCTGAGCCGCTCAGAAGAGCAGCTGAAATGGAAACGGTAGAGAGGATGTTAAATAGTTTACATACACAGTAGCTGCTTCACAACATATATGAACTGACCAATCAGCAGGACCACAACTATCTGCTGTATGATGTAAAATAGAGAGAACTGTATGTGGAAGTCATGTGTGTGCTTGTGTGCACCACTAAAAATAATATTTACATAGTCATTTGCACTATGATAAAGATTATTGCTTTTACTGCTGGGATACAGTAGGATATTCAAAAGGTCGCATTTGAATTGCATCACATGAGTACAGAGTTTTGTGAAAGAGAAATATCAAATTAATAATAAACAAACCTCATATGAGCTAAAACTATGCCCTAGCAACCACATAGATACTCCCTGACAACAACCCGGAATACCCTGGCAACCATATAGCAACTCCATGGCATCTATTCAGAATGTCCAAGTAACCACATAGCAACTCCCTGGAAACCATCCACAACACCATAGCACCTACATAGTAACTCCCTGGCAGCATATGGCAACTATTCATAACATCTTACACCGTGTCTACACCGGACGCGACAGTTGTCGTGTCGTGTCGTGCCGCGCCGCAACAGCTAAAGTCTGTCATTTGAGATTTGTGTCAATACGTCATAAATAGAACGCGGCAGCAGTTTACTGTCGGGGATTTGTCGTGTCGCGCACCGTGCCACATCCAGTGTAGACAGCATCACTGATTATAATTAGTTCTATCGTATTTGTCACGCCGCTCGCGTCCGGTGTAGACACGGTATTAGTAAGCACATAGCAACTCCTTGGCAGCGACCTGGAATACCCTGGCAACCACTAAGAATATTCTAGCAACCATATAACAACATCCTAGCAACCACATAGAAACTCCCTGGCAACCACCTTAACCACACTAGCAACCACATAGCAACTCTCCAGCACCCTAGAAACTCCCTGGAAACCAAACAGCAACTCCATTGGTCACGACCTAGAACAACCCTAGCAAGCACATGACAAAATCCTAGCAACCACATAACCACTCTGTGCCCTAGCAGCCACATAGCAACTCCCTGGCAACCTCCTAGAATACAAATGTAACCACATAGCAACTCCCTGGTAACCACCTAGAGCACCCTAGCAACCACATAGCAACACCCTTGCAACCAATCATAACACCCTAGATTCACCCTGGCAACCACCTAGAACACCCTAGCAACCATATAACATCATCCTAGTAACCACATAACCACTCTGTGCCCTAGCAACCACATAGCAACTCCCTGGCAACCACCAAGAATGCCCTAGCAACCATATAGCGACATCCTAGCAACCACATAGCCACTCTGTGCCCTAGCAACCTCCTAGAACACCCTAGCAACCATATAGCAACATCCTAGCAACCACATAACCACTCTGTGCCCTAGCAACCACATAGCAACTCCCTGGCAACCACCAAGAATGCCCTAGCAACCATATAGCGACATCCTAGCAACCACATAGCCACTCTGTGCCCTAGCAACCTCCTAGAACACCCTAGCAACCATATAGCAACATCCTAGCAACCACATAACCACTCTGTGCCCTAGCAACCACATAGCAACTCCCTGACAACCACCTATAATACCCTAGCAACCATATAGCAACACCCTAGCAACCACATAGCAACGCTGTGCCCTAGCAAGCACATATCAACTCCCCGACAACCACCTAGAACACATAATAACCACATAGCAACTCCCTGCCAACCACCTAGAATACACAATTGCAATAAATTGCACAATATTAAATTATATGTTAATTATATATATATATATATATATATATATATATATCATTTATTAATTTTAAATAATGCAAATAACAATGCAAATAAAGAATGTTTTTGTGTCTTTCTTTTGCCTGGTAATGTGGAGGAAAAAGACAACACCTGCTCTGTCCTCTACACTCATGTTTTGGATTCACTCCTCCATGGGCAGAAAGTGGCACATAACCTTTGACCTTTTGACAAGGGGCCTTTCATTTCTTTCTTCCAGCTTGCTTGTGAAGTGATAAATGTTTATTTTTTCTCTTTTTAGTTCTTATAAATATCCACTGTAATGTCGAGGCCCAAAAGTTGAGACAGAGAGGCCATAAAGGGAGAATGCGGACACTCCTCTGTCCTCAGAGCTGCAGGATTAAAGCAAATCTAGGTTACAGTGTAACACGGATCCTCACATACTGAGGTTATGTAACACTATGACCACAGGTTAGCTTTTAAATACAGGTTACATAAACACAATGACCCTACAGGTGCAACAACTTTACATATTTTACTCTATATTCTCAATAAATCCATATATCTATATTTACTCTCTATTTATTGTATAAGTAATTAGGACAAATCTGTAAGTCAAGTGCATCTGTCAGCATTCATGACTTACATAAACGGCTTCTGATATGAAGGCAGCAGTTTATACACATTTGAGTTTATAATGAGGCGTTTCATAATTCATTTTGACACGTGTTTATAAAACTTCCCAGTTTGATAAGACAATACTGATTACAGAGACTGCCTAACTCGGTCTATGTCTTGAACCAATATGTAATTATGTAGTAAATCCTGTCAACGTCACTGCTGAAAAAAATGTAAACATTTAAAACAGATAAATAACTTTATTACAAGGCTGACTAAAATACTTTATTTTGATAAAATATCTATTTTTAAATATTTGTCAAATATTATATTTGGTTACAGACAGCCTGTCTGTGTGTGTATTAATATATTTTTCAGAGCCACTTACTGCAGATTTCACAGTTACACCAGTAGGTGACAAGAAGTGTATTACAAGTACTGAATCATTCAGTCATCCGATTTGATTCATTTGTCTTATGAATGAGTCATTAAATCATTCACTCAACCACGATTTATTTATGAACAAAACAAGTGACAGCCATTAGGAACCAGTCATTGACTCATTCACTCAACCGATTTGTTTTAAAAAGACTGAATCATTCATGAGGTTTTATCATTCTAATAACTAACCAAGCTGTCGCAAGTTGATATTTTATTTATCACATATATATTTAACAATTTTCATAAACAACATAACATAGATAATTAAATATGAAATACTATTTTGATTTATTACTATTTTTAAAATATGTATTATTCCTATTTTGTTCTAACGTATGATGTTACATTGAGCAAACTTTGTTTTTTCTTTTCTTTAATCTTTGCCTGTCTAGCTTGTACTTATTTGAACAATGCTTGAAACTTGAACCACATAGCAACTCCCTGGCAACCACCAAGAATGCCCTAGCAACCATATAGCGACATCCTAGCAACCACATAGCCACTCTGTGCCCTAGCAAGCACATATCAACTCCCCGACAACCACCTAGAACACATAATAACCACATAGCAACTCCCTGCCAACCACCTAGAATACACAATTGCAATAAATTGCACAGACAAGCACTACTCACTTTTTCTTCATAACATGTCAGAATCTAGTTGATCTGATTCCTGTTGTTCATATCTATATACAGTAGGTCAGATCTGATGATAAAATGCCTCACATTCTGAATGCAGCACGTGCATGTTTACGATCAGTGACTGATCAGCATTACAGGCAGCACTCAGAGCGTGACGTACAGCTCTCACAAACATGTTATCTGTGTTACAGAGCAGTTCACCAGCACACGCTGAACTACAGCTGATTTATCAGCTCTGTGTGTGAGACTGCATCTGTGTGAGGAGTGTCATTACCTCAGATCACTCTCGTAAACATTCTTCCAGCTCAGGCGATCAGGGTGTAACAGATAAAGAGGTTTAAAGGGTCACTATGAAAACAAGACATGAAAACAGATTGAAACACTTTGCATGGATCATCAGCTAAATATCCAGTAGCCAGAGGAAGGTTTGATGGATAACAGCACGAGTCACACAGGTTATGAGAATTAACATTTTAAAAGAGCCCATGGAATATGTTTATGACTGACCAAACAAAAAAAATAAATAAATAAATAACTATTTTTAAAATATGTATTATTCCTATTTTGTTCTAACGTATGATGTTACATTGAGCAAACTTTGTTTTTTCTTTTCTTTAATCTTTGCCTGTCTAGCTTGTACTTATTTGAACAATGCTTGAAACTTGGTATTACTGTGTCTATTTGCCTCTTTAAGATGAATGGCTTGATGTAGGTATTCCTTGTAAGTCGATTTGGATAAAAGCGTCTGCTAAATGAATAAATGTAAATGTATATTGTATTCTTTAGTTACTTTCATAAAAATAATGTTTTCTTTTTCTAAAAAACCCCCCCATAAAATCCTTAAAAAAAAATATCGCAAAATAAAATCTAAAAAAAATTACAACGTATGTCGTCGTGTTGTTTGTAAGCATCTCACGCCTGTTACACCTCTTTTGCTCTCTCTCTCTCTCTCTCTCTCACACACACACACACACACACACACACACACACACACACAAAACATTGCTGAGAGGGAGAAACAGGTCGCGGCATCAGCTCTCACAAACTCTTTAAACTTTAAACGTTTACCCCGAGCGCGGAGGAGCGGAGCCCTTGACGCCGCCTGGGTGAGTGTTTGTACGGGATTCATTCGCTGCGTTGTCGGGGTTTGAAGATTGTTTTCCTCCGGTTTCTATGGACTCTGCTCTCGAGAGGTTTGAGGACTTTGAGCTGCACTTGTTCCTCCGCGGCTGGATCGTTTACAGCAGGTGTATTCCTCCTTTACACGACAATACGCGTCCGTTTTACTCTCCACAGCTGTTTGAACGCGTTTAGTCACTGCTTTATTCAGTGTTACTTTATATTTGGTTCAGAAACAACCGAACAAAAGGGAAATGTTCGCTTGTTTTAAAGTACAAACGCTCATTGGCTGACAGCGACTCTGCTGTCTTCTCTTTCCTTTTAACTGTTTGCATAAGTTCATTCAAACACTGTTAACTTGGTTAACCTGCTTGGGTCGTACTGTTTGATTAGTTGTGTTTTTTAATGTGAGTCTGGCATTTTAGGGTCATGTGGAGGTCTGCAGTCAAACTCGCATAAATTATCCCAGACTTTTCATCTGAACAACAAAAGAGTCTTCTAGTTCAAAATGAGACCACATTTTTGAACAGGCTTTTTTCTTTGTGCATTTTCTGCGAGTGCTAGTTGAGAAGTAGTCAGGTTGTTTAAACTTGGTCAGATCTATGTGAGCAATGCTTAAAGTATTTGGTGACTACATGGACATGAACCTATTTTAATAAATGTCAGCTAAATGCAGAAATGCAGTATTTTCCAACACAGTTCGTGTATCCTTGTCTGTTTGTCTCTTCCTCTGTTTTTTCTAAACCTGTTTGTAGATACACAGAGAGCGACTCTTTCGTATCTCTGAGCAGGTGCCTGAAGGCTGTCTAAAATAGAAGCAGGTAAAAGTGGCTCGTAAGTGGAAGAATATAGCCTGACGTAAATTGTTGGCTGTCAGTAGAGGGTTATCATTAAACGCCTGTGTGTCCATGACCTCTTGACCACTAATGCCTAAAATCTGACCTCTGAAATTACAGAATTTACTCTTTAAATCAGGATTACTTGGTATTTTGCTATAAATTGTGTGAAAACTGAAATGGTTTTGTGAATCTGTTTGAAATAAACAATTTATTTAAAATAATAAGAAAAATCATATTAACTAATTTTTAAGTTTAGCATAATCACATTTAAAAAAGTTCAAGAAAAATTGACCTGTGATTTAATACAAGTGCATGCAGATTATAAGGCACTAGTCATTGTTGGGCTTAATTTATGTTGTGAGACATTTACATTACTGATGAATTCCTTCTATTTATTATTACAGTTGCAAAGGGAAGAAAAATTTCAGGTAAATTTCCGAAAACTTTACAGGATTGTTTTAGAAACTTTCTGAAATTTTTGGAGATTTTTTTTTGGTAACTTTCCAGAAGTTCCCAGAAATTTACCACCCCTTTGCAACCCTAATTATTATTGTTATTATTATTATTAATAGTAGTAATAATAATAATAATATTTTTTTACATTATTATTATTATTTATGAATATTATTTTATTATTTATTTTTGAACTAAGTAAGAGAAAGATTGGTGAATACAACTTTTACAAATTTAAGAGACAGAAGTCATTGTCATTATTTATAGGTAAGTTAACCATATTAATAGTCAAATAACTTAGAGAGAGAAAAAATTATAGATTGGTGGATAGAAAAAAATAACTTCGTAGTAAACCTACTGTTTTTGCATTTTACATTAACTAATTTACAAATGCATATTATGTGCATTTTCTGTATGCATGTAATCATTTCTGTATGCTGTTTCACATACTGTTTTTTAAAAATAGAATGCTGTGCAGTAATCTAGTATTTTATTCATGAGCACAACCTTGATCTCGATATGTGCTGTAATAATTAGAGCAGATGCCATCACTCGCCTGCCCCCCGATGGGTTCATTGGTGTTAAATTAGTCCCTCAGGACATTTTTAATGAGGAAATGATCTTATGAATGGGTCATGTAGCGTATGTTCTTCTAAACACGGTTCATGTCGATGCACAGCCTGACAATGACCTGCCTTCATGGTCCAACATGATAGAATCACGTAACCCAGATGAGCTGGCAGGCACCCAATATCCCTGTGAACGAACCCCAGCAGCCTGTCGATAAACACAACCAGCCTTTCAGAACAAAACCACCGAGATTCAGACCTGTTTACTAGGGCTGCACGATTAATCGAATGCGATTGTCATGCGCATTTTGTTAAAAAAGCCGGTTCTGTAATCAGCAAGAAATCATCATCACGTGCTTTCAGATGGAGCAGAATTTACTACACATAGCCGTAGTTCACTGACAAGTTACGCAAAAAAATCGCAGATGATTTTATTGCGCGATTCTGAAATCGAAGAAATCGTTCGCGATAATGACAGCTGTTTGCATAGCTCTCAGTGAACTACGGCTCTGTGAAGTAAATGCTGCTCCATGTGAAAGCATGTGAAAATACCACATTTAATAACATATTTTTACTCCAAACTCACTTCATAATGTCAGTCGAGTGTTTGAAATAAATCCTTCTGTGAGATGATGTGACTTCTTACACAGAATAAGTGACGCAACATATTTCATAGTATTTAAGCAGTGATAAAGACATTGCATAATGAAAATTATAATAATAAGAACTCAGATAAACCGTATATTGCCGTAGTCGTGTGTTTATTAGTCACGTTGAATCAATGAAAGCAGTTGAATCTTCTGTTTATTCAGCTGCAGCGATAGGCATTTTCTGGGTTTCTTCTGCGAGGCGTATTTGGAGTTTCAGCGCGAGAGCGCCCTCTGGCCTTTGGATGGAGATTTACTGCTGATCACAGAACCGTGCTTCACTGAAAGATACGCATGACAATCGCAGCTTCTGTCGAATCGAGATCTCGATTCCATTTCGATTTATCGTGCAGCCCTACTGTTTACTCACTTGTATTAAAGGAATAGTTCACCTGAGAGTGACAAAGCTGTTTTCAATGATGAATAGGGTATATGTCGAACATCACCTGACCAAACCCGGAAAACAGGTCTCATTGCTTCCGCTTGTCGGAGAACGTGTTAACAGCCGTATTAAATAATAGCGATATCTATGGACTTTTAAGATAGTCAGTTAAACTAGCTAGCTGTTTTTATTGTTGACGTTTTATTCAATTTGTATATCTAAATGTGAAAAGAATACAAATAAAAAAAACTTTTAGATATCAGTCCGCATATGTGATGGACATTGGTTATGATCATCATTGGTATCTACTTTGAAGGCATCTTGAGTAAAACTGCTTCATATTTAACTAAGCATATACAAAACGCTTGAACCGGAAGCGACGAGACCCGGTTAACAGAATACGGAAGTCTGTTGCGCATAACCCCTATTTTCATTTTTGGGTGAACGGACCCAAATGTAGATCTGAATTTAAACTTAATGGGATTTTCATCATTGGGACAGTTTCATCATTATTTAAGAAAAAAAATTAAATTATATATCACCATACTTCCTTAGTTGATTGATTACATGAAGAATTGCAAACATTTTTTGTATTACAAGTTTTCTAAAATGTTATGTCTGAATATGCTAATGAGTCATTATCTAGTTAAATATGCGGTAATATGCATATATTTAATGGTAGATAATCAAAATCTAATAATAGAAATCTGAACATTGGATACTAGTTTTTACAAGGATTTTGTATTTCTCTTTTTATCACTTCATAAATCTGAAAATACTGTCAACAGCCAAAAAATAATGTTTGTTTTTAAGGAATAAAGTGTTGTATAAAACCAGGCAAATGATTAATGAACAAACCCTTCAGTAAAAATCTTATATGGAATATAGATAGCTAGAAATAAAACTGTAAAATTTGGTGCATGCAAGAGCTGTTGAAACGCATAGCCTTAAAGATATGTAACCTACTGAAATTTAAATCTAAAGATGCGATAAAGAGCAAAAATAAACACTTAAGTATATTTTGAATGTTCTTTCCACTAGTCTGAAAGAACACTTTATGAAATGCCAAATTTCAAAACTGACCCAATGCATAAAAAACAATGTTTTTGCATGTAGCATGATCTTGCTTTAAATCAATCAATGCAGCGATTGACCATCTTTCGACTTGAATTGAAGCGATAGCAGGGGTCTCTCATTAGTTTCGACCGCTTTCTGCATGCTAGTGAAATGCAATCTGACCCAAACCCTACATCGATGCCCTAACTGCTGTCCGACCCTGAGTTAACGCTCCGTCTACATTGTGGATGCTGAAAAAGACCCGTCCACTACGTCTAATGTTCCTTCACTTCACAAAAGTGCCACTCTCGAGATTTGTGAGCCGAACACAGTCGTGCTTTGTGTCCCTCTGCCAACATCCCTCCATCTCCCAGAGGAGTGCGGAGAGAAAGATATGGACAGATAGGAGGACGCCCTTATTCTGTTACCGTTCTGGAGAATAATTACTCCTCTAATCTGACCAAGGGCTAGAGTATGCTGCCCCCAACACCTGCACAGGTCTCAGATCAGTCAGAGTTTCTTCAGATGGCTGCTGTTTCTGGTTCTTTTCTTGAAAGTGCTTGGTAATCGATAACGGGGCTGAATAATAATGATGGCCTGAGGCCAGTGAGAGCGTTACGGTTCAGCTGACAGACCAGTGCTGTGTGTCACTGCTGCTTACCGTGTTGATCATGCACATGTGTTTTTATGCCTTGCAAACTCAAATCATTAGTTTTGTGTCATGTATTGAAAGTTGTTGTTGGGAGCAGTGTTGTTTTAGTTTTTTTATAGTATTTACTAATATTTTGAATGAGCTTTTATTATTTTGTTCAGTTTTCATATTTATTTAATTTAAGTTTAGCAATTTTATTTATTTAAATTTAAGTACTTTATGTACATTTTATGTACTTTTGTCATTTTATTTTAATAGTTCAGTGTAGCTTAAATGTATTTTTAGTTCTGTTTTAGCAATTTTGTAGTAATTGTAAAAACTTATTTTATTTCAGTTTGCTGTCAAGGCAACATTTCTCATTTTTGTTTAAGTCAATATTTTTCAAATCTAATGTTTATATTTTTTATGTCAGATTTATTTCAAGTGACATTTTGTCATATTCATATATTTTTGAATATTTCAGTTGAGCTTAAATTTATTTTTATTTCAGTTTTAGTATTTTTTTAGTAATTTTAGTTTTTTTAAATCTAATATTTATATTTTATTTTTTATTTTATTTCAGCTTTATTTCAAGTAACAAAAATGCTTTTAATAGTGTTAGTTAGCAATAACACATTGGTTGGTAGTTCTACTGACAGTACTGTAAAAGTAGGCAAACAATCAGTAATGATT